TTTCGCCAAATTCCGTTTTCACCCTCTAGCACTCCGTCCCCAACGTTCCTCTTTCATTTGAACCGGTCAAAACATGTCTAGCTCAATTTTTACGTTTTCACCTATTCTCACTCCATAGCCTACGTGCTTTTCGGCCTCCGGAAGGTCAAAATAAGAATATCTCGAAATCCTGTTTTGACACTGTAGCCATCCGTCCCCAACCTTCCTCTTTCATTTGAAGCGGTCAAAACATGTCTAGCTCAATTTTCACGTTTTCACCTATTCTCACCCCATAGCGTCCCTACTTTTCGGCCTCCATGAGATCAAAATATGAATTTCGCGCCAAATTGCGTTTTCACCCTCTAGCACTCTGTTCCCAATCTTCCTCTTTCATTTGAACCGGTAAAAACATGTCTAGCTCCATTTTTACGTTTTCATCTATTCTCACTCCATAGCATATCTACTTTTCGGCCTCTGGAAGGTCAAAATAAGAATATCTCGAAATCCTGTTTTGACACTGCAGCCACCCGTCCCCAACCTTCCTCTTTCATTTGAACTGGTCAAAACATGTCTAGCTCAATTTTCACGTTTTCACCTATTCTCACCCCATAGCGTCCCTACTTTTCGGCCTCAGGGGGAGATCAAAATATGAATTTCGCCAAATTGCGTTTTCACCCTCTAGCACTCCGTTCCCAATCTTCCTCTTTCATTTGAACCGGTCAAAACACGTCTAGCTCAATTTTCACGTTTTCACCTATTCTCACCCCATAGCGTACCTACTTTTCGGCCTCAGGAACGTCAAAATATGCACTTTGCCGAATCCAGTTTTGACACTCTAGCACTCCGTCCCCAACCCAGCTTCCTGTTTCATTTGAACCGGTCAAAACACGTCTAGCTCCATTTTCACGGTTTCACCTATTCTCACCCCACAGCGCACCTACTTTTCGGCCTCCGAGAGGTCAAAATATGACTTTTGACGAATCGCATTTTGACACTCCAGCACTTCATAACAAACCTTTCTATTTCATTTGAACCAGTCAAATCTTGTCTAGCTCAATTTTCATATTCTTACATATTCTCACCCCATTTCGGCCTCCGGAAGGTCAAAATATGAACTTCGCCAAATCGCGTTTTGACGCTCTAGCACTGTCCCCAACCTTCCTCTTTTATTGGAACCGGTCAAAACATATCTAGCTCATTTTTCATGTTTTCACCTATTCTCACCCCAGAGCGTACCTACTTTTCGGCCTCCGGAAGGTCATAATATGAATTTCGCCAAATCGCATTTTGACGCTCTAGCACTCCGTCACGAACCTTCCTCTTTCATTTTAACCGGTCAAAACATGTCTAGCTCAATTTTCACGTTTTCACCTATTCTCACTCCATAGCGTCCCTACTTTTCAGCTTCCGGAAGGTCAGAATATGAATTTCGCCAAATCGCGTTTTGAAGCTCTAGCATTCCGTTCCCAATCTTCCTCTTTCATTTGAACCGGTCAAAACACGTTTAGCTCCATTTTCACGTTTTCACCTATTCTCACCCGATACCGTACCTACTTTTCGGCGTCCGAGAGGACAAAATATGAATTTCGCCAAATTGTGTTTTCACGCTCTAGCACTCCGTCACGAAACTTTCTAGTCACACTGTAGTCATACTGTATACAATTGTGATCACATTATGCTCAGTTTACAGACACAATGCGATGACAATGTAGTCACACTCTGTGCAATGGTTATTATCACATTACGTCAGTACGTAGTCACACTGTTAAAATGTTGAATGTACTATAGTTAAAATGTAACAATATAGTTCTAGTTTACTCACCAGGTAATCATTCTGTGGAAAATGTAGGCACAATGAATATAGTTAGATCTAGGTTGTCTTCAGCAACCCATGCTTGTCGTAAGAGGCCACTAACGGGATCGGGTGGTCAGACTCGCTGACACATGTCATCGTATCCCGATTGCGTAAATCGATTCTCATACTGGTGATCACTGGATTGTCTGGTTCAGACCCGATTATCTACAGTCGGCTGCCATATAGCTGGAATATTGCTGTGTGGGGCGTTAAATAACAAACAAAACACAATTTAGTTACACTGTAGCCATAAACAGCAGTATTTGTGATCTATGTATAAATATTTACACATTTTATGTTCAGAAATACGAATATGATTGAAAACATCTTTGTGTGTCATTCCAGATCGCACCACCATGTACTGCCAGCTGGGCTTTTTAATATATATAGTTCCGTCATCCGTGGAACCTGATGAATAAACAACCTATTAAACTGAAGGCTAATGTCTTGGAACACATAAAGGAGAGAATTTAGCGATGTCAGCTTCTTTATTTTGTGTTCCTCAAAATAAATAAGTTGGCATCCATAAATTCTCGCCTTTATTAAGGCTACTGTTATGTCAGTATGCCCCACGGTCATCGCACATCGCAATGGCAAGATCAGAACAGAGGCAATATACAGCAAGATGGCGGCATCCGTAGGCGGTGCTGGGAACAGCTCCGTCTCTCACAACACCCCTTGCCAGGAACCAGTTACCGACCACCGCTAAACTTCGATCTCTTTGTAAAGCAGTTTGTTGGGTGGGGACATCATCATGAGGCCAAACACTTACGGTTTCTGCTTAAGCACACTCTTGAAATGGTCAGCGCTCATTTTGTAATTTCAACTGGACATGTAGTAGATCTTCCCAAGTTTCTTCATAAATCGTTGTATAGCGAACCTTTGTTTCTCCGGACTTGGTAATACGGACAACTTCTCTTCAGGCGATTATATTACGGCCGAGAGCACCTATGTGTATTTAATGTCATGTGTATTAAATGTGTATACAATGCCGAGAATAGCTTAAACGGCGTAAAGCAATATGTATTGATTCATAACTACTTACTAATTATTCGTTAATCCGAACGTTTGTCTGTCCGGGTTAACAGGGTTGTATTTGATATTAGTTTCAAAACAAAACGTTAAGTACTCTAGGTTACAAACTCTGTAGAGTTGTCTTCCTTTAGCAGTTGCACGATTTGATTCTCATGGGTTCAAAGTATAGATGTGTCCCGTGTATGATTGGTCAACACACGTATTTATCGGGTCACCAAAGTATCAACGTATAAGACCTTCTTCATTTTGGGCTTTCATGCCACGGGAATCCTTCTCCATATTTATAAGAAATCTCTGCTAAATTCGCTCATGTACCTGGCCAGATACATAAAATCTTCGTCGGTTTGGGCTGACATCAATGTAAACATTAAGCTGACACGCTGCGTCTACTGAAAGACCATTCACAGCAGCGTTGATCCCATCTCTATGTTCTCCGTTTTAGACAAAATGGACCCGTGAAGACCCGGGATAGAATAGGTCTTCAGCAACCCATGCTAGCCACAAAAGGCGACTGTGCTTGTCGTAAGAGGCGACTAATGGGATCGGGTGGTCAGACTCGCTGACTTGGTTGACACATATCATCGGTTCCAAATTGCGCAGATCGATGCTCATGCTGTTGATCACTGGATTGTCTGGTCCAGACTCGATTATTTACAGACCGCCGCCATATAGCTGGAATATTGCTGAGTGCGGCGTAAAACTAAACTCACTCACTCACTCACTCAGACAAAATGTAGGTATAACTTACTAGTAACTTGGCAACATGATGGATTGTTTAGTAAATGATATCTATTTGAATGTGACATCAGTAGATCCTGACGGGCGTCCTTGGCTTCTTTTGATTAAAGAAGAAGACTTTTTATGGCTAGATAAATTCTTTATTGCAATAGATGCGACGTTTCGATTTAGATGCTTACACCATCATCAAGCAAACGACATTGCACCTATTCATTTGCTTGATTACCTTGTTAGGATCTACACCGAAACATCGCATCTATTGCAATATAGATGTTGTCTGTCCATAAAAACAAAATCCTCATCATCATGTCAGCTTCTAAAAACGCCCCTTAAAGAAGATCGTTTGGGTAGTATATACTATATGAATTAACAGGATAGTATTGCAACACAACAAAATTTAAAATATCAGTGAAATGTATACATGTTCACGTCTACCTTAACAATCTGTATAGAAAACTGGGCACGGTTCCTCAAAGCGATCTTAGCGCTAAGGCGATCGTGACCATATTTTAACATGGGCGTACGGTATACCGGTAATAGGAGGGCTGAGATCGCTTTGTGTAACGGGGCCTTGGAAATGTACCTATGGACCTGAGTGAAGTACTTACTGTGTGGCGTCCGGTATGGGATCGATAGAACTCGATGTACTAGTTCTATTTTAATACAGTTTACATTATATTATATACAATATTATATGCAGTGTACGTGTATATTTTTAAATTCTGATAGTTTTGAAATAAAATCATATGTCAAAAGTTTATTTCCGTTGGTATGTTAATGGTCCAGGGTGGAAGGGGGCCGTGCTTGTCCCGCTTGACATTGTCTTCCCCAGACAAGGGAGCTCACTCCCTACTAAAGTCCAGTTTCCTCCCTTGATACATTGGGCTGAGATTTCGTTGCTCGATCGTAGCGCCACCAGTGGCTATTACTAGTTACGGCCCTTCTATATTAATCCTATTTTATCATTTTGATTGACGATTTAACTTTTGACGGGATACCCGTGAAGATCCGAGCAAGACTGGTTTTCAGTCGTAAGCGGCGACTAATGAATCGGGTGGTCTGGCTCGCTGACTTGGCTGACACATGTCATCGTACCCAAACAACTTAGATCGATGCTCATGCTGTTGATCACTGGATTGTCTGGTCCAGGCTCGATTATTTACAGACCGCCGCCATATAGCTGGAATATTGCTGAGTGCGGCGTTTAACAACAGATAAACAAACAAACAAAGCAGACGGGAAATCGTACAGCCATGAGTGGGAAGTACGGATCCACTCGGATTAGTCCGTTACCTACATGACACCTCGGTCAATACCAAATCGTGACATTGCACCATTTCACTATAGCATCTCGACTGTGTACCTGCTTATATAGTTTGAACAACCTGACGGCTGATTTTTTAGAAATGTTTTTAATGATTAATATATAGAATTTATATCAAATAGCGCTTTTGTATGGACCGCCGGCACCGCCGCCACATTGGGTTGTATAACAAAATGGTTAACTTCAATATGGGTTGTTCCCAATGACCTGGACTGAGATGAGCCGACACAATGCAACCAAGGGGAGATAATTCAAAGTCGTGACGTATGTGCAAACATTTCTTTAACAAGTTCTGCTGCGTGAACGGCCGTTCCCCAACTCAAACTGATGCCAGTCGTCCCGTGACCGTAGTTATGCACAACCTTGAAAATGAGATCAACGTTCAGGAGTGAGTGAGTGAGTTTAGGTTTACGCCGCTTTTAGCAATATTCCAGTAATATCACGGCGGGGACACCAGAAATGGGCTTCACACATTGCACCCATGTTAGGAATCGAACCCGGGTCTTCGGCGTGACGAGCCAACGCTTTAACCACAAGGCTAACGCACCGCCCTACCTACGTTTAGGAGACTAGCGTTTATTCATTATTTAATAACGCATTACAGAGAAGACTCGCTAACGCCATTTAGTGTCGGTAGAGTAGTGAAAGCGTTCCTTTGAGCGCATTATTACCCAGCCTCTTAAGTCTTATCCCACCGGGTGCCCATTCACTGCAGGGTGAGCACAGGCGATTTTGAACAAACTCACATGCCTAAGGGTACAATGTGGAAAGTACATCCCTGATGTTCTCCGTTATATAAAAGCACTCACCTAACTGGCCCCCAATGACCCCTATGTACAGACGAATTCTTGATGGCTCAGGCATAAATGTTACGCTGCTTGTCTCGAAGTACGGATACCTCGTCATAACGCAGTGGTGCCGTAGATTTCGAGTGAGGTTGATTGTCATTTCCATGTTTGCAATACTCGTGAAATGAATACATTTGAGTGAGTATGGTTATACGCCGCTTTTAGCAATATACTAGCAATATTTAGCAATATTCTAGCAGGGGCACCAGAAATGGTCTTCACACATTGTACCCATGTGGGGAATCGAACCCCACAGTCGCTGAATCGGTCATCAGCGTGAAGAGCGAGCGAATGCTTTAATTACTAGGCTACCCCACCGCCCCGAAAACATTTAAGAGCCACGATGCCAGCTATATTGTGTTTGCACGATACGAAGACAGTCCCGTCTGCTAACTATGGGAAAGACGATCATTCAACTGAAATAGAAGCCAGTTGCATTGTTTTGTCAAAAAAGAAAGACTATGTGAAACATACAAGCCCAGTGAGATTTAAACGATCTAAAAATATCTTTGATATATACTGATATTGATTATGTGTTAAGTCCCCTGGGCAATTTGAACACACGTATATACAGCATATGTGGAACATACAAACCCACCGACTCTCAATCAGTCTGAACATATCTTTGATACATATTGATTGTATAAATATACTCAGCAGCTTACAAAACGTCAGTACGAATTCAAAATTAGATAGTCACTGTAATCAAATCATTACAGAAATAGACATAATAAGCGGATCAAACACAGTTTTTGTGTACAATATCTTGACACATCAATGAATAATTCAGCACAATTTCAAGACATTACGTGAACGTTTGCAGTCCATTCAGACCCTTGACTTCAGTATCTAGTGTGACCACCACGAGCGGCAATAACTACAGCACAGCGTCTAAGCATAGAGTACATCAATCGATTGATGGAGGCCATTGGCACCTTTAACCACACTTTGAGAAAGGCCTGGTGCAATAAATCGGCTGTGTTCGGCCTTGGTATGACATTAATCAGTCTCCTCTGAATTTCATCCCAAAGATGTTCAGCTGGGATTAAATCAGGACTAAGGGCTGGCCACTGCATAATGTTGACACTGTTCTGCTGTAGGAAGTCCCGTGTAGCTCTGGCAGTATTGGCCAGGGCGTTATCATGCTGGAAAATGTTGTTCCGGTGACGTGTAAAATGTGGTATGACGTTGGGTCTGAGAGCTTGGTCGATGTAGCGCACCGCTGTGATGCCGCCTATTCTCCCTGGACCAAGGTTCTGGAACACCACAGGACCCACTCTCTTGTTCAGGCCTATTCCACCCCATACCATGATGCTTGCATCTCTCCATGAGTCTCTTTCCATAACACATTGGTCTGAGTAACGCTGGCCACGTCGTCGCCATATTCTTGTTCTGCCCACTGCAGTTGATACGCAGTACCGACTCTCATCTGTGAACAGAACAGTTCCCCATTGCCTGTATCGCCAGTGTTGGTGTTGTAGGGCAAACTGTAGACGTTCACGCCGATGAAGAGGGGTGAGGAAAGGTCCACGGTAAGGTCTACGGCAATGGAGGTTCCCGCTGTTAAGACGTCGCCGTACTGTATCAGTACTGATTGGTCTTCCATGTGTTCTCACTGTGTGGGGTGCCTGCATGAAGGGATTCTGTACATGCTGTCGCACAACATGGCGGTCTTGTCGGGGGCGATCATTTGTGGTTTTGGTGGCCCGGACATTTTGCTGCAGCCTGTAGATGGTCCGAACGTCGACCTGGAAGTGATTGGCAACGCCTTGTGCAGTGTGGCCAGCTTCAAGTCTTCCTAGCGTCTGGTTCCTCTGAGCTGTCGTGAGTCGCGGCACCCTGCTGACGTTGTAATGTGAATGTTTCAACCAGGTTTGGGGATGCATTTTATAGGGCTGGTCTTTGTGAACAGCATGTGCAACATGAGTTGCATGAAAAACATCTCCGAGATCAGGTTGCGTTTTTGAGACCATTTCCTTGGTTCCATTCTGAATTTGGGAAGGAATGTCTTTGCTCAGGTAAAGTTGAAGATGTTGTCACAAATATACAATTAAAACATTAAATGAGTTTACTGCGAAGGAAAATTCCAAACTGACGTTTCATTTGCTGCTTAGTATATAATCCACAAAACCATTTCATAACCATAAGAAATTTCTGCTGAAGGGCTGTGTTATCATTTTATTCCCAAAGAGGTTACTCCTGTCATATCTTCCTACGTAACCTCTGTTCTAATACGGCCCTTTCATGGTGTGAGCGTTCAAGACTCGTGATTGGAGGCAATCAGATTTAGTTGTGCAATCAGCGACGTTGTTTCAAAAGTAATCATTCGCAAGGCCTCGGTAATTTCGGTATGCTTCGAGAAAACTAAACTTCTTCCCCTGCGTGATGCGCAAACGTTTCTTCTAGACAGAACTCAGTCATGTTATGGTGGATCAGTGGCGTCTCCATCGCCCTCGCTGACAACGGACAAGCTAGCCATTAAACGTCTTGTGTGTAACATCAACACAAGTCCCCGGCAGATGGGGGATATTTGTGGCCCCACATCTGCTTGTGTTAGTGAAGTTGAATCTAAGTCGATATAACACGTGTTCTGATTGGATAGAAAGAAGGGAGATAATTCGTGTTGCGATCTTTTGCCGCTAGGGGATTTTACGAGAACCGGGTAATATGGCCGTATTGGAACAGAGGTTCGTAGGAAGATATGACAAGTAACCTCTGTGGGAAAAGAATGCTGTGTTATATGGACCACTGATAATGATGGGCGAAACGATCTCAAGCACTGGCTTAGGTCGTCAATGTTTACATTGGAAAATTACGTGAAGATCTTAGTACAAATAGGGATTTGAATTGCACATCACATATTTCATTTGAACTCCTGCCTTGAGGCTCTTGTTTCCATATCGGATGACCTCATGGTCATACAGCAGTGAGTTTTGTCGAATTTGTTTTTCGTTTAACGCCGAACTCAGCAATATTCTTGTCGTAAGAGGCGACTAATGGGATCGGGTGGTCAGGCTCGCTGACTTGGTTGACACATGTCATCGGTTCCCAATTGCGCAGATCGATGCTCATGCTGTTGATCACTGGATTGTGAGGTCCAGACTCGATTATTTACAGACCGCCGCCATATAGATGGGATATTGCTGTGTGCGGCGTAAAACTAAACTCACTCACTTGATCTGACCCCAAAATGAAAAACACTTCCAAAATGAGTGAAAACAGTTGCCAAAACACTGCAAACACAATGAACCACCACACATATGGCTTCCGCAACAAATGCATCACCATCACACGAATAATTATTTCATGGATCATATTCAGCCACCATCCTACCGATGAGATCATCGGATTGTTCTGACATTGAAAACGACAATCCAAATACTTGCTGACCTTAGGGTAGTCTGTCTCACAGTCCCTGAACCACATTATTTTCCCTACCGTCAAGCTCTATCTGCAGTGTTCATGCCCTGAATAAAGCAAGTCTAGATTTCCTCAGGTTCTGAATCTGGTCTCCCTAGCTGGGGCTCCTTTTTAATTTAAATGGGTTTATTTGTTAGTATCAAAATCAAATATACGGCATCTATTCAGAGACTCAGCGTTAGTCTTACCTTAAGGATACAAGTAAGAAGTTACACAGAATTATCCCTCTTGCATAGAAATACGTCTCACCTTCTTTCCAAAATCCTTTGTTTAGAAGTAAACGATACAGCAGATCCCAAATACTGTATCTGAAGAATTTATTACGTCCGCCATCCAGCGTGGCTTCACACACCTTTATAATCTTTAGTGTGTCAGTAAAGCTGTTGCTGTCATATCAGTTGGTCACTGACTTCACAGAGTTAAAGTGAGTGAGTGAACATATTTTACGCCGCTTTTACCAATATTCTAGCAATATCACGGCGAGGGATACCAGAAATGGGCTTAACACATTGTGCTCATGTGGGGAATCAACCCCGGGTATCGGCGTGAAAGATCTCCGACACTACACAGATCCTTTAACCGTCCGGCTACCCCCACCGACCCTCTGAGTTACACATTCCTGTCTGCCTTTGTAGTAAGCGATCTTAGCAATCTTAGATCGTAACTCCCATACCTTAAAATACATTTTTAATTCATTCTCTAGGGTGTGGGCAGGGTTGCGGTGTGGGAGGGAGTGATTGTTTTCTCTTTCCAGATGTCAAGGGAATATCAAGTACCTTGAGTGGAGGCCATAGCTTTGTGAAGTTTCTCCCAGATGTCCTTAGACGTATCATGGCGCACGCTGGTGCTGTAATCCCCGACAGTCTTGAAGCCTCCAATACCAACGTTGTCCACACTGAAACAATCAACGATGTTTTTACTGTTTATGTAACGTGCAAGTTTACGGTGAAAAAACCGTAACCGACTGTCTGGTTCAGAATCGTTTATTTATAGACGGTCATCATGTAGCCACAGTTCCCGACATCAGATTCCCGATACTACCCATATCCTGATATCAGATTCCCAACACTACCCATATCCTGATATCAGATTCCCGACACTACCCATATCCTGATATCAGATTCCCAACACTACCTATATCCTGATATCAGATTCCCGACACTACCCATATCCTGATATCAGATTCCCGACACTACCCATATCCTGATATCAGATCCCCGACACTACCCATATCCTGATATCAGATTCCCAACACTACCCATATCCTGATATCAGATCCCCGACACTACCTATATCCTGATATCAGATTACCGACACTACACAGATCCAAGACACTACAAAATTCCCGACACTGCACAGATCTTGATATCATATTCCCGATACTACACAGATCCAAGACGCTACACGGATCCCTGACACTACACAAATTCCCGACACTACACAGATCCTGATATCGGATTCCCGACACTACACAGATCCAAGACACTACACGGATCCTCGACACTACACAGATCCAAGACACCACCCATATCCTGATATCAGATTCCAAACACTACACAGATCCAAGACACTACACGGATCCCCGACACTACAAAAATTCCCGACACTGCATAGATCCTGATATCAAATCCCTGACACTACACAGACCCCTATCGCAGAGGTCAGCTGCAATAAAATGTCTAATAGCGTTTATAACATGTTTGCAAATAAGAGCCCCTGCCACAAACAACTTCCATGTCTTACTTGTGGATAAAGTAGAATGAGTTCGAGCTGTGTAGGAAGTGTTTCACCCATGGAGCGGACACCTGCAGGTGAGAAAGAGACAAAATATATTGTTTCCAGAGGCGATGGGGTAGCCTAGTGGTTAAAGCATTCGCTCGTCACGCCGGGTTCGATTCCCCACATGGGTACAATGTGTGAAGCCAATTTCTGGTGTCCCAATCGAGCTATTGCTGGAATATTGCTAAAAGTGGCGTAAAACTAAACTCAACCACTCTTTTGTTTCCCCCAACCTACGTTTAGTTGAACTTGCACATAAAGATATTTTCAATTACCGACCAAGTATGCTTGGGGAAACACTCTGCAAACCGTGAAGTGAGTGAGTATGGTTATACGCCGTATTTAGCAATAGCGTAACAATATCACGGCAGTTGACAGTATTAATGGTTTTGCAAGGCACTCTAACGAAAGCAACTCGCATTACATTTGCATGTACGGGGTTAATTTAAATAATTACACTATGTGCATAGAATAACGACTGCTCGACGGTAAATGGACCAGTGGCTACACTTGTTTAAGGTAAGAGGGGCGGTGGGGTGGTTTAGTGGTTAAAGCGTTCGCTCGTCACGCTGAAGACCCGGGTTCGATTCCTAACATGAGTACAATGTGTGAAGCCCATTTCTGGTGTCCCCCGCCGTGATATTGCTGAAAGTAAACTCACTCACTTTAAAGGTAAGTCACGAAAGACAATCGAGCTGGTGACGTATTTAGGTCAGGGTGAACTGTTCCACTGTCATCACGGAGTGTTTTCAGGTGGGTCAAACACATAGGTGATGCTATTCATTTATTGGTGTCGAAAGCCTCAGATCCCAAAGTCTCCGGATCCGCGCCAACCCCGCTCACCCAGATATTTTGTTTATTCATCCTTGGGTTTCCACTCTCACCCATCCTCAGCATCTGTCCCCTCATTGGCTGCAACTTCTCGTCTCCAGTCAGGGCCTTGGCCCCTAAACCAGCACAGTTAACCACCACGTCATACTCGCCTTCAAGCTGTGAAAATGAAGGAAAACCTTTGTGGCATGTCACTGAATTATATTTAACAGGAACTTTCAGTCATCAGTCATGAGTAATACTGAGTTTCAACAATCCCATTTTCACATATATACTGACCGCCAAAAGAAACGTGAAGTTCATCAATATCTACTCTGACGTAAATCTACAGTGTTGAATAGGTTTCTCATACCCTGAATACTGTTTTTCACGGCAAAAGACAAAATGATTACCACAAACGCAGCATACGTGACGTCACACATCACTTAACTGTACAGCCATTGCGCAAAACTATCACCAACACGACCTGTTCTGCGCAGCCTATCCGGCTAGCGAGAACGCGTGTTCATTGCAGTCATTGTTTCGCCTTATTTTGAATGCAAAGGGTAATTTTAAAACTATATATTTATTTGAATGTATTTTCTAACATTGACACCCTTCCAACTGATATTTGTTGGTGCACTAAAGCATATTGTTGTCACGGATTCGATGGATGTATCACGTTTATAGTGTTTACTTGAGGGAGCAAAATGTAAATCGGCAAAAGTGCTGCTTTTTTCATTCAATAAAGGACGATTCTTGAAAATCCTTGGTTATATCTTAAAAGGAACTGTTTTATAGAATACACCTATAGTGTGCCGATATTAGGGCTGTGTGTTGGCAAATAAACTGTATTGCAATATATAGCGATTCAGGTAACCGTATTGCGATACGTATTGTGATATACTGGGAACTAAGTGTCTAACAGTGAGTGACACTAATTGTGGATATCAATCCTATTTTCTACATTTTAAGTGCCATAACCTATATGTTATGGTTCTGATAACAGCAATCTCAAAATTAGGTTGCATAATCAGGGATTCTATTTTCTTTTTTTTACAATTTATAACATATACGAGACTTTCATGTCAAAATCCGACTATGTCGGACGTGCGACATTTTTCTCATGTTGTGTTCGTATTATTTCGACCGCCTTCGTGGTGTAGTGGTTAGAGCGTCCGCACGGAGAGCGGAAGGTCGCGGGTTCGACCCCCGACCGCGTCATACCAAAGGACGCTAAAATATAGCACTTGTTGGTCCCTGCCTGGCGCTCGCTATTAATGGGTAAAACAAGGACTGGTCGGCTCGGAGTCAGTAAAATGTGTCTGAGTGGGGTATTCATGCTTCACTGCGGCATGGTATCACAGTGGGCTAGCACTATAAAACCAGCTTAAGTCTGGGCTAGTACAAGGGCTACACACAAACACGCATGCACGTCGTCATATGAACGAAATATTCTCAAGCACGACGTTAAACCCAATTTCACCTCACCACACCTCGTGTTATTTCACAGGCAATAAATTGGTTTAGATCGTAAGTGACGTTCCCCGTCTTATCATTTATTGTTCTTGGGACATCTCCAGACCTGAACCCGTGACATAAGTATTTAAGTGTGCTCACTTTCCTCTGCTGCACAGCCCCACCTCGGGTATACCGATATATCGCAACACGCTTTTCAAACAATACGTATTGCAATATTTCTTTCTTAGAACCGGTATATTGGGTAAAGAGCGTATGTGAAGATTTGTGATTATCTGTATGGTTCAAATCAAGCTCTGCACAGACTTTCATTCCACATCAAATGTTTTTCTTCATTATTCAATGACAAAACGTTTACTGTAATACTATAAATTGTATAAAAATTAAAATAGAATCCCTGATTATGCAACTTAATTTTGAGATTGCTGTTATTATACCGATACATCCTGCTGGAAAAGAGAACGGCACGAATCGCAGATAAAATGGTCGGTGTATTTCAACATTGTACAGTCCACTTCCCACACAGTCCTAAATAATAATGAAAGATAATGTTTGCTGACTTTAGCCTGGAGATAATTTATTTTTACAAATGACTCAGTAAATATAATCCGTTGTCCCTATGGTAACGTGCCGGTATGTTTGACATAAAGCCAATATATTTGGACTTCAGTAGGACATGCGCCTGCATGTTTGTCATCAAACCAGTGTAGACTCCAGTTAGGAACACGGAATGTGTGCCATCAAACCAGTATGCAACCAAAAAATCAAACATAATTAAAACACAATTATCACTTATTCATGACATATAACATACATTGCTGGTTATGAAAAAACATATAAACAAAATTATAAGCATACAATCGCAAATCGAAAGTGCAATAATTTGTACTTGGGTTTACTTCCCAAGAAACGAAGCAGCCGGGATACCGAACCCAGTCAGAGCGGGTGGGTGTGCACTCAAGTGTAATATCAACAAAACATTAGAAAAATAGCTCACATCAAAGCCTTCACCGAGTATTCACCGGACAACCCGCATCCAACCTGCGCGAACCTATTTCGCTAAGCATGTGCTATGGAATCGAGTCGTCTTTTGCGATGAATCCAGGTTTACCCTTAGATTTGCGGACGGCAGGCATAGAGTCTGAAGACGGTATGCCCAATGTTGTGTACAGGACGTCGACAGATTCGGGGGCGGAAGTTGCATGGTGTGGGGTGCTTTCTGTGTAAACAACCGTTCACGACTTCTGGTCATCCGTGGAAACCTCACAGCTGCTGCTTACCGCGACCAGGTGCTCACCCCTGAACTCGTTCCTTTCATGGCGGCTCATGGCCCAGGTCTACATTTACAGCATACCGCGATGTTGACACGAAATTTCCTTCAAAACGCTGGAATCAACGTGATGGACTGGCCATCGAGGTCCCCTGACCTTAATACAATAGAGCACGTTTGGGTTGCACTTGGGAGAAGGCTTCGTGGTCTTAGGAACCAACCTCAGAATTTGCAGGAACTTGGCGCTGCCGTGCAAGAGCAATGGCGCAGAATCCCCAACCATGTGTTCACAAGCATCAGGCAGTCAATGAGGAGACGGTGTTTGGCAGTGGTGAATGCGCGGGGCGGCCATACACGATACTAAACTGAGAAATTTCGCATTTTTATTCTTTTGACTTGAAATTCTGTATACCCATGTTTTGGAACGGCGGTGTAGCCTAATGGAACTGATTATGGCACTGTCAGTGTATCGAGTACATCATATAGATCTCAGCAATGAAATAATAACAATTTCACCATCTTACCATCTCTTGTTCTTTTATAGTTCCCTGAAGAAAGAATGTGAAGTTTCTTTTTTGACTCAGTATATATTCTCACGCCGTTATCAAGATAAAAGTTACTACAACCAGGTAAATAGAAGTATATATGCATAGTGACAAGCAGCAAATTAACAACAACAGGTTTATAGCACATTGTTGGGACCAACGGGAGAGTAAGATCAACAAGTCGAAATCCACTCCATTGTCCAAGTGATGTAATCAATTAATCAGCTTGTTTAGCCTGAACGACGTACATCGAAATGCCGCTCTATGCAATAAACAGGGAGTTGTTATCACGTAAGTGGTATGTTTCGTTATGCATTACCATACTGTTTACTGCAGTATAAGTGAGATCTGCTTCAGTTTGCGAATGACCAATCTTTTGAAATGATGATTGATCTCAGATTAAAACATCTCATTCCAAATTCGTGTTTTCTATTTCAGGTACTAAGAAATACTGAGTTTTTACATATTAGATATAAATATATCGGTACCAGTTTGACGTGTCTGGTCATGAGTTAACTAACATAGTGATTATATATTTTTTACCATTACATGTGTCATTAACACGTCATTTATGCCCTTATAATGTTCTCTGATCCATTTCATCATACATCATTTATTTCATTCAATGTTTTGAAGCTCATATGATAACATGAGAAATGTTACTGTTCCAGTTCCTTTCGAAGTGTGAAATTATTTTTGTTCCTCGAGTGTTCCAACCAATATAGTCATTATGGTTACAAACAGCCTAATTTTTAATGCCTCTCAAGTTAGATGTTATACACGCGTGCATGCACACACACCCACACAAAACATCCGTAATTTGTGAATTCTGTTCGGACGATAAAGAAATATCTAATTTGATAAGAATCACTATATAAATTATCTTCCCTTACTCTGAGAGAAGCATGGCATTATTCGTTCATTTTTTGATAATTTTATCTGCAAAAAAAGTAGGTATTATTAAAAATGTGAAACAAACTTTGGCATACTACCATTGTACTAACATTGCGACATTGACCAAGGAATAATGTTAAGTTTAGTCTGTTTTCAATGTCATAATATGTGAGGTTCCTCTTTCACACATACATACAAACTGACAGCATAACACAAAACAATATGCAACCAACCAAATTCAATACAATACAACTTTCACCGCCTGTGCATACCACACTGTACATCACATGATTAACAAACCTACAGCTCAGCAGATAATAACTTACCTTTTTAATAAGAAAAGCAAGATTTATGGATGTCAACTTCTTTATTGTGAATAACACGACATTTCGGAGCATATGCTTGCTCCCTCATCAGGTGAAAATCAGGTCACAGTAAAGAAGTTGACATCCATAAATCTTGCTTTTTGTATGCATTCCACTACTAAATGCCCATCAAAGATTTAACTTACTTTTAGAGGCTTCTTTAAGAGGCATAAAAACTTGCAACTTGGTTTTCCTCCCAGAGGCTGAAGGCCTTGTTAATTGGTGACTCTTAACTACCTTGACTCACTCATCAATTAACAAGGGATTAGGTCCTGGACATTACCAGCGTTCGGCACGTCTTGGTCCGGGATACGATCAGGGTGGAAACCACTTGAATACCTCATTTTGTGTAAAAAAGATTGTTTGTATCTATGGACTGCAATGTTCTCTACCTAAATATCAATTTCGGCAGGCGTCGGACAATATTTGCAAGAACCAAACGGCTCGGATTGTAGGGAGCTCGCCAATGGTTTGGCCATGCTTTCTACATTACCAGCGTTCGGCGCGTCTTGGCCCGGGATTGGAAACCACTTGAATACCTCATTTTGCGTAACAATTGTGTTTGTATCTATAGACTGCATTATTCTCTACCTAAATATCGATTTTGGCAGGTATCGGTTAATATTTGAAAGAACCAGACGGCTCGGAGTGTAGGGTGCACGCCAATAATTTCAACATACTGTACTTTCCTACATTACCAGCATTCGGCATGTCTTGGCCCGGGATACGAGCAGGATGGAAACAACTTGAATACCTCATTTTTTGTAAGAATTTTTTTTTGTATCTACAGACTGCAATGTTTCCTACCTAAATATCAATTTATGCAGCTTTCGGATAATATTTGACAGAAACAGACTGCTCGGAGTGTAGGGTGCTCGTCATTAATTTTAACATGCTTTCTACATTACCAGCATTCGGCATGTCTTGGCCCAGGATACGAGCAGGGTGGAAACAACTTCAATACTTCTTTTGATGGTAAAATTTCGGTTGTTTCTATAGACTGCAATGTTTTCTACCTAAATATCGATTTATGCAGCCAAAAACCTGGTAATGTAGAAAGCGTGTTGATATTATTGGCGAGCTCCTTACACTCCGAACCAGACGGCTCGGAGTGTAGGGTGCTCGCCAATAATATCAACACGCTTTCTACATTACCAGGGTTCGGCACATCTAGGCCCGGATACGACCAGGGTGGAAACAACTTGAGTACTTCTTTCTATCCAAACATTTTGTTTGTATCTATAGACTGCAATGTTTTCTACAGAAAAATCAATTTATGCTGCTGTCGGATAATATTTGACAGAACCACACGGGTCAGAGTGTTGGGTGCTCGCCAATAATATGAACATGCTTTCTATATAACCAGCGTTCGGCACGTCTTGGCCCGGGATAGGAGCAGGGTGGAAACAACTTGAATACTTCTTTTGATGGAAAACTCGCGTTTGTATCCCAAGACTGCAATGTTTTCTGCCCTAAATATCAATTTATGCATCTGTCGGATAATATTTGACACAAGCAGACGGCTCGGATTGTAGGGTGCTCGCCAAAAATTTGAACATGCTTTCTACATTACCACAGTTCGGCACGCCGTCTTGTTCGGGGATATGAGCAGAGTGGAAACAACGTGAATAACTCATTATGAGTAAAATATTTGGCTGTATTTATAGACTGCAATGTTTTCTACCTAAATATCAATTGATGTCGATTTCGAATAATAGCATGGCAATAGTTTGGAAATGCTTACTACATTACCAGTGTTCGGCACGTCTTGGCCCGGGATACGATCAGGGTGGAAACCACTTGAATACCTCATTTTGTGTAAAAATTGTGTTTGTATCTATAGACTGCATTATTCTCTACCTAAATATCGATTTTGGCAGGTGTCGGATAATATTTGAAAGAACCAGACGGCTCGGAGTGTAGGGTGCTCGCCAATAATATTTTCTTAATTAACCACTGCAGCTCTGTCTCTTCCCTGGGAGGGGACTTCCTCTTAGGGGGGATACTGTGTAGATGTCTCTGAAAGAGCGACAGAGAGGAGAGAAACCTCAGAAGGACTCTGCATTAACAACTCACACTCTGATGCCTGAGAGGCACCTATCTGCAAGGCTACCATGCTTCTTTGTGTTCATTACCTTGCGTAAACGTGCTAATAAATATTTATCAAATTGAAATGGTGATATGTATGCACTATATTTACGTAATACTAAATGAACGGTACAGAAATAGCACACAGGTGTGTCTCAGCCGCTTACAATCGTAGATGCAGTGTTGACACGAGTGTCAAACACTTCAATTAGTGTGAATATTAACATCGTCAAGATATTTTATACATCCTAACTACAATTCACGGCCTAATTTGGATAAAGAGGCCGAAATATTGAGGATATTAGCGGCAAAAATTACCCATAGAGTCCACCCAACCGCCTGCTTGGGCGGGATCTAGTCAAATGTGCCGAAGGACAAAAGGGCCAAGAAGTGCCTAAGTCCAAATGGGCCGTGGTGAAAGTCAAATGGGCCGTGAAAAAATGTCAAAAGGGCCTTATTCTTAGTCATATGGGCCGAACGAAAAAAATGTCTACAAATGTTCTTCAATTTTTATTGACATATATAGCATTAAAACATAATATAACAATAATAAAAAAAAGTAATTGCGAAGCATGTCTTTGCATTTAATGGCAGTACATATAGTTCATAATTTAAAGTACTTAAGCACTAAGTGTTGTGAATGTTGTGTGTTGGAAAGCAGGGTATACCAAGAGTCGAGATACAATAAAAACATTAGACTCACAGCTTTTAATTAGATTTAAAACTATTTACACTATTTAATTATGTAATTTATTGAATGTTTATTTTTCTTCCCTTTTGATTTCGGTCCATTTGACGTTTGGTCTTGGCCAATTTGACTTTTCTTTTCGGCCCTTTGGCCCATTTGACTACAATCTGCTTGGTCGGTGAAGGAGAGAGTGATGAGAGCTGGGCTCAGGTCACATGGGCAGGAAAGGGGAGGCTACTCGTGGGTGAGTCACAGGGGCTTGTATTGCTGAAAACAGAGACCATATTATATGGTCTCTGCTGAAAATAATACGTCCTGGGTCCTACAAGCGTACACTGATATCCATATAGATATAAAGAAGGATCCTTCTTTATATGTATATGGATATCAGTGTACGCTTGTAGGATCCTTCTTTATATGTATATGGATATCAGTGTACGCTTGTAGGATCCTTCTTTATATGTATATGGATATCAGTGTACGCTTGTAGGATCCTTCTTTATATGTATATGGATATCAGTGTACGCTTGAAGGATCCTTCTTTATATCTATATGGATATCAGTGTACGCTTGAAGGATCCTTCTTTATATGTATATGGATATCAGTGTACGCTTGTAGGATCCTTCTTTATATGTATATGGATATCAGTGTACGCTTGAAGGATCCTTCTTTATATCTATATGGATATCAGTGTACGCTTGTAGGACCCAGGACGTATTATTTTCAGCAATACAAGCCCCTGTGTGTAACCCGTGATGTGTCCCACCAGCGACAGATGTTGCTGCGTCAGTCTTGGTCTGTGTAGGTTACTTTAACCTAGCTTATAGACATAATGATTTCCTATTCACTGATGTTATCTATGCGGGGAATACATGTGTGAGTGTGTGACTATTGCATTTTGTGTTTAAAAATAGTATTACAACACAACATCTCATGTTGTTCATGACTGGTCACGATGATGTAAATTTACATAAAACTTGGTGAGTTTGGGTTGGGCTGGAATGTGGTGAGTTTGTGTTGGTCTGGAATGTGGTGAGTTTGTGTTGGGCTGGAATGTGGTGAGTTTGGGTTGGGCTGGAATGTGGTGAGTTTGGGTTGGGCTGGAATGTGGTTGGTTTGGGTTGGGCTGGATGTGGTTGGTTTGGGTTGGGCTGGAATGTGGTTGGTTTGGGTTGGGCTGGATGTGGTTGGTTTGGGTTGGGCTGGAATGTGGTGAGTTTGGGTTGGGCTGGAATGTGGTGAGTTTGGGTTGGGCTGGAATGTGGTGAGTTTGGGTTGGGCTGGAATGTGGTTGGTTGACGTTGTGAACACATGCTGCAAGTGATTAAGCTCATTTTCTAGCTCCATGGTTGTGGAGTTGATGTTCTTGCCACTCTTCGTTAGGGTTAATATGACACTAGATAGACCAAACCAGACTATTAAAATGTTGATTCATCTTGATGACATATCATGAGATCACAAAACAGAACATCAGCCTCACTTGCCTATGGACAATCTTACCATTTTGAAAACCTTTACCAGTAGTCAGATATTATATATTATTTGTAACAAATAATGAATAAAACTTCGAAAACATTTCGAGTATGACAATTCCAACTGATAGGCATGTATAGTATACATCCTGATTTTTTATGGGTGGTGGGGTAGTCTGATAATCAAAGCGATTGCTCATCACGCCAAAAACCTGGGGTCAATTCCCCATGTGGGTACAATGTGTGAAGAACATTAGGTGTGCCCAGAATTATATTCCTGGAATATTACTCAAAGCTACATACAGCACACTCCTTGGTTTGAATTTGATCATGGTGAAGGACACACAATTAGGCACCTTACTCTGAGAGTGTGGGTTTGAATCTCGAATAGGACTCAACCCAAAAGTACTAGAATCTGTACCATGCTGAGGAAATATAATGCCAACGACAAATATAAATGTCGTTTCCTGACTGGCTGAGCGCTCTTCTACTATTTTCAATGTACCCCGCTTACAAGCGAGTAACATTTTCTATGTACCCTGCTGGGAACGCGGAACTCATTTGGTAATTCATAGTAGCAATTCTTTATCTCGAATAACATTGAATCACGTATGATGAACGGAAATTACCGCTGTTTCGCAAATGGAAATCGATGGAAGGGAGTACTCTGTAAACTGTTTTTCTTGTTGTCTTGTCGTCTGGTACTCCATACTATGATCCGATACCCGTGCTTCAAACAGTTCAAACTTACCATTGAGGTGTTCGGTAAGATAAATAGGTTGTTCACTGATGCCTTGGAGCCCATTGGTTGGTACCCTCGATGTTTCTTTATGTTCCCTGAGCCCGAACATCAAGGGTACATCAGCCAATGTCCCCCACAAGACCAGTGAACAACTTATAATATAACATATGTTACATTAGGCCATTTTCTAAATGGCATTGTGTATTCATAGCTTAAAGACCGTGAGCTTTGTCAATTTACACTTGTCAGATGGGTACACAAAGAATGTGATTTAGACAAACAGTTCTCCAACTTCCATTTTTCCAGACACCATGCTGGCTGAGTGGGTTAGATGGCTGACTTTGTGTGATGGCGATTAGGTGCCTAACTGAGAGTGCGGGTTCAAATCTTGGATGGAACTCAATGCAGAAACTACTAGAATCTGTACTTTACTGAGGAAGTTTAATCCCAAATACAACATATGTTACAAATAATTGTATTATTTCTGAAAGTAAAAGCCACAGAGGTAAGAAAACTGAGCCATCCAGGGTTATACAGGAAATGTTATTCCTGAATATTTGATGCTAAAATACGCAATATACAGTGTGTCAAAGCATATGTAAAAATGTGTAAATCTAATTAATGTCAAAATGAAAAACATGCAGAGTAAAAGAGTGATTTGGTAACACAAAACACCATTTGGGGTCAATAATTTGGAGAAGTAGACTTTGCCTTCACAGTACTAAAACTACTGTTTTACTTGTCTAGTGACCACTACAACAACTTTGATATTAGCACACATCTGACCTTACAAATAACCAATTCCAGTAACCTTGACATATTTTAGTACCAGGATATCTCCTTCAGAAGGAACACGATCTCCTATATAATTTGGAAATATTTCAAGAACATAATAAGGGCGACCCAGCATACAAAAGTATAGCTACATTTCTCTTTGAAGTCAAAAAGAGCTACTGTACACACATAGTCTGTACAAATCTTGTCAAAAATTATTGAAAAAGAAAATAGTTTAAAGCATAATATGATAATTTTTCAAATGCAGTCCAGCATCTCTGTTTCCATTTCATTCACTTCCTCCTCCTCTGCTCCAGTGTCTGCCACTATTGGATACACCTCCGAATCATCCTCAGATTCCTCAGGGGCATCCAGCAGCCCTCTTATCTTGCTGACAATACGTCGTCCCCGCCGCGTACCTACAGCCAAATATTCAAAAGTTATATTGTTGAATCAGTCTAATCTGGTATCTAAAACTAATGTCATGGCACAGCACATGATCTGGACATGAAGGCATCAGTTAAATAATAACAATAAAAACACTAACATAAGAACAAATGAAGGTAATATTATTACATATACTGCATAAATATGAAGAACTTAAAAAACACACACAACACTTCATGACACAATTTGTGTAAATGTTTGTTTCACTCATTTGACTAGAATGATTCCAGAACACTACCTTTTTTTACTGTAGACCTAAGAACAACGGAGCTATGGCCTGATAAAGAGGGAACTATTTCTGCTCCGGAACTATTTAAAGTACATGACCCCTGCGACCTTAGCTGTATTTCAGAGATCTGCTCTCGTGTCAAAAACGTGATCTTGGTTGAGTTTATTTTTTTATTTCCAGCCCTCAAATATACTTTAATCACATATAACTCTGGAACCATCCATCCGATTTTGACCAAAACTTGCCTCGTGCTTGTATGCTAGAAGTGTCCATTTCACAATCCAATTAAAAGAACATAGCTCATAAAACAACTGAGGTACAAGTAAAAAATATATATTCTGCTCACTGTAGTTTGTTTCTTGTACACATCACACTGAAAGTGTGAAAGTGAAATGTTTTTGTTCTGTGGTGCATGTTAAAAGTATCACCGTTTGGTGGTTACATCCATTTCATTTTAAAATAAAGAGGAAATTGAGTTAGCTGTAGGAAGCTCCATGAAAATCTACCAACAATCCCCTTTCACCTGTTTTCCAATGCCCAAAGAGCAATACACTTTTGGTGACAAATTTTTGGCTTTAGGCAAACACATGTAATTAACCCTTGTTTCTGGGTTACAGATAAGGAACCATGATAATAAGCGTACTTCAAAGAGTTAATTCAATGTGTTTTTTAGATCATTGAAAAGAATTCTTTAAATTCAGTTGTGAACCCATCAGGTCCTGGTGCTTTTTCAGTTTTTTCAATGCCATTAGACATACCTTCTAGATTGGAAATTTTAACAATAAATATTATATTTATATACTTATCCTATCTCACGATTTGCACTTCTCTCTCTTGCTTCGATGCTGAGTGGAACGAATTAGAACTTTTCCTGTAGGCCTCTCTTGTCCATACGTCCGTGTTCTCCAGGCTGCTCTCCTTATAGGGCAGGTCCCTGCTCCAATGCTGAAGATGCAGCATGCTCCCCTATAAACCCGCGTGACTACCTCAGAGTGATCATTCTCTTCTTGGAGCCAATGAAAGTTAACTGTAACCGCCGTAATCTGAGTAGCGGGGAGGCTGGGCGGGCATACATGGCGTGAGGTAGGATAAGTATATAAATATACAATTTATAGTTAAAATTTCCAAATTTTTAAACTTATCCTGTATCACGATTTGCACTTATCCCACGGTTGGACGGCGGGTTGCAGATTACCCTAAGTCAAAAAGCACTAACAGTACACACTGTATAGGCTAATGACAACTGTAGATAGCAAAGAACAAGGGAGGCCGGATCCGACTAGCATAGTACCTATACTAGTGATAGGTTCTCTTGAACCCTTGGCTTACTAGGCACAATCTCTCCCAAGGAGTGGGTGCTCCCGAGCGATGTGGTCTTCGGCCGCAACCCTCGCATACACAACTAGGTGAGTCACCTCACTTCGTCACTATTTATCAGAGTACCCCCGTAATAAAGTCTTACGACTAGTAAACGGGCCTGCATCTGCTTCGAGACAGCCCGCCAGACCCCGTCACGAAAAGGGGAAAATGAAACTGAATCGGAAAGCTCACACGTTTAACATTCAGTACCAGAACAACATCACATGGCTTCCACTACTTAGCACAGTAAGACCATAACGGTGTGCTAAGGTACTTAGGAGTTAGAACGCTACAAAATCCACAAAGGAAATCGGGAAGGACTCACTACACTGACGTGATTACTCCGTGGAGTAGAGGTCAGCAAGCGAGATTGTCGAACATTTCTACATTGCAAATACAAGAACTAACCACTGTAGAATCGTATAGACACTAATTGCAATAACCCAGTAAAATTGAGTGAAGAGTTCCAATCCCAGAAGAATTGAGAACAAAAATCAGAAATAGCATTCAGAATTTTATTCAGTATGAACACGAGAGTGAATGCATATACGCGCACTGTACCCATCTGCGTTGATGGGCCGACCATAGCTGCTGTACCAAGACAAGGGGTCCAAACTGGTCAAACCCTGGGCATCAGTGACCGATAAGTCCCTCAGATAAAGTGAGGAAAACACTGTATCCGAACGCCAAAAGCAACCCTCCATGATGGCCGTCAGGGAACAGTTGCTGTGTAAAGCCATCAAAGATGCTAACGCCCGGGTCTCGTGTGGAGTGGATGATTCTAGGGGTGGCAATCCAGCAAGGGCATACGGCCTCAGTATGGTAGCACGCATCCAAAAGCGCAGAGTTGTCCGTGAGACCTCAGCCTTAGATGTAGCACACAGTGGGATGAATAGCCTCTTACGAAGACGCAGTGCTCTTGGGAGGCAACTAAGGAGATCCGTAGAGCTCTGACAGGGCAGAGAGACAAATCTTCAACATCTTCTGGCCGAAGAATGGTTGACAAGGGTAGGATAGTAAACATTCTATCCGGTTGTCCTGGTAACTGGTTCCTTCCAACAAAGTCCGAATGCAGTCCTAGAAAAACTCTGCCATGACGTTTCTGTTCCAAACGCACATGATTCACATCCAGTGCATGTAACTCTGGAATACGAGCCGCAGTAGCTAATGCTACTTGAAAGAAAGTTTTGAACGTTATCTGCTCAAACGCCTTATCATGTAGTGGCTCATAATCACTGGATACCAAGTGACAAAGGACAACTTCCAGCAACATCCATGCAGGAGGTCTGAACCTCTTAGGCTGGTCAGCAAGTCTGAACAAACGAGGCAGATACTGGAGGTCAGGAGTAGTAGACACCTTGGTTCCAGTAGTTGTGGCTAGAACTGAATTAATGGCAGCCAAATAGGTTGACAATGTAGTACCTTTGAGTTTCTTCGTAGCCCGTAAATGCTGTAGAAATTCCACAACAACCAGAGGTGATGCTGTGGTGGGAGAATTAATTCACCTATTTCAACAGTAATGTTCAAATTTCTTCCATTTATCGTCATACAACGATCAGGTCGATGTCCTATGCACAGATGTTAAAGCTGTAGCTACTCTGAGAGAGTAACCCTTGCTATCAGAGATTTCTGTAAAAGAGCTATAAGTGCAGACTGAGGGTTTGTGATGACCCATGGTACACGTCCAAATGTGGATGACGAAGTAGGTCATTTCGGGCAGGTAGCAGTTGGATTCGATTCTGCTAGCTTTTTTAGGCCGACAACCAGCTTCTCACTGGCCAAAAGGGAGCAACCAAAAGCAGATGAATCTTGCTGGTTGCAAATAACTCTTAAACTACCTTGGGTAGCAGAGCCGGGGGAGGAAACGCGTAAGCATTTAGACCCTCCCATGATAAAGTTAACGTGTCGTGGTCCCACGACTGATGATCCGGAATTGGGGACATGAACCGTGGGAGCTGATGGTTGTACAGAGTGGCGACTAGTTCTACGTCTGGTCGTGATACCGGGTAGATCATCGACTGGAATATCAGGGGTAGTAACTTCCACTCTGTTGGTGATGGCCGTTTGGGGTGTGACAGGGCGTTGGCTATGACATTCTTTGCACCGGGGAATGTGTTGGGCTCTGGCCATAATGTTGATAGAATCGATTAGATCGTAAATTCGAAACATCCACTGGAGCAGAGCTGCCGAACCTGTCGAACCTTGGTGATTTATGTACCATAATACTGTCAAATTGTCTGATGGAATCAGTAGATGGGACGACCAGAGTTTTTGCCACCAAATGCTGAATGGCGAGAATGACAGCACTGAATTCCAACTCATTGATATGAAGGCCCTTTTCTGCGGATGACCACTGCCCAGCCACTTGATGATGAAGAAAGTGGGCGCCCCAGCCCTCAAGGGATGCATCGACGAACAGGTGACGAGTTGGTGTGAAGGGCACCATAGAGACTCTGGCGCAAACAATCTGCTAGTCAACCACCAACGAAGAACAGGCCGTAGTTGCACAGGAAGATGAATCAACTCCCTTGGGTTGTCGTTCTGGATGTACGGGCACAAAACATCTGAAGAGGGCGAAGTTGCAGTTGGGAACTGTAAGTCAGTGTTTGTGCCGACGTCAATAACCCTAGTAGCTCCTGCCACTGGCGCAGAGTTCTGGGTGAGTTTCATGCTGAAGGTAGAATGTGCCGAATTTTGTCCCATCTGTCCTGTTGTATGTTAAATACCGCCCCTATGAATTGTAATCTCCGAGTCGGTATTAACTCCGACTTCTCGTAGTTCAGGAGCCACCCTAAATGTGTCAGCAACTTGATGATGAACTGCCTGTGGAGAAGAAGGACGACTGGAACCTGCTGAGCTGGAACATAGTTGTCGATATAGCTTTCGAAAGTAATTCCCCGACAATGCAGGTAGCTTGTTATCGGTTTGGTTACCCGAGTAAACAGCCATGGGGCCGTAGATATTGGAACTTGAACCGAAGATACTTCCGGTGGTCTGGATGTATTGGTATGTGAAGATAGGGAAATGAGATAGTCCCCTTTCTTCAAGATGTGCATAGAAGGTTGACTGACACCATCCGAAAGTGGACATTCTAGTTCTATTTTGATAAAGTATCCCTGCAGTGTAAGCTTTCTTGGATTTTCTGATGCATGGATGGTATGACTGATCCAATTTGATCCTATTTCTGTGTTTCTTACCTTGATGTTTATCATGTCATGTAACATTGTGATGTCTATTGACCTATGATATTAAAAACATACAACTGACTTAACTTGAATCCATAAACTAAATCAACCACACTTCGCAATTGTTAGAAAAATCTAAAAAATTACATAGGTAAATTTGTATATATGGTTTTTAACTTTAGTAGACAGCAAATGCTTG